TTCTTGTAATGATATTTCGGGGGCAGTGGAATATATAAACCTAGTTTTTAGCTGTTTCGTCGTCTCTGTACCCAAGGCTATAAAAGTAAGGTAAAAAATCACATAGAGTTTGCGTTTACTTGAAAATGTCGTTCAGATTCTCAGTGAGGCGTCTGCTGTGTACCGGCTCCCCCCTTCACCGTCGCATGCAGATGACCTGACCTTGATTCTCGTGTAGAGATAATTTTTATTGAGTAGCGTGGTCTTTTTGTTGGGATGCTGTATCCCACTCAGCCCAGATTGACCCTGACAGACAAAGTCGAATGGTTACGTGTAGATTGTGTCAATAATGACGTAAAAACACTTACATTTAAACTAATATCAAGATGGTGAAGGGCTTATTCTGGCTGACGAGAATCATGTAGTTCAATGTAATGTTGGATAGTTTACCTATGTTTTGAGTAGGTGTCATATCAGTGTTGAAGTGTCTCAACCGCCACTCGCCTCTTTTTCGTCTGGAAAAAGCGCGTTGAGATATCATGCATGCAACCCAGGTCCTGGAACCCTTCTTAGCATGTTCTTATTAGGACCTAACCAGGCGCTATCTTCATCTTAACTTAAAGAAGTCTTTATAAAACATTTTAAGTACTCACTATTTCCTTCCTCAGAGTTGCCATGGCAACGTCAAGAGAATTGCGACGTCGACAGGGTGAAGTCATCGCTGTGTCGGAGCCTGAAGTGCCGTTCTCTCCCTCCTCCCTCTCCTCCTCCCTCTCCTCCTCCTCTTTCCATCTCTCCTTCATTCTCCTAGCACTCTCCACCCGTGTGCGGTAGAAAGCTCTGCAAGCGTTGGACAGATCAATCGGGTCACAGAGGCTGCTAGCCGCGCCATGCTCGTCCTGTGTGCAGAGTACAGACGGTTTGAGTCCCGCCATGTATTCTCGCATGTCGCTGGGTGTCACCATGTCTCGATACGTGGGATGGTGTGTTCTTGGATGGGCAATGTATCCCGGGTGGGGCGATGTGTCGATGGGCGGGACGATGTGTCTTGAGAAGTCTCGTCTAATCTGTCACCGTGTGTCCTGGGTGGGGCGATGTGTCTTTCGTGGGACGATGTGTTGATGTGGGAGGCGATGTGTCGTGAGTAGTCTTAGCAAATCTGTCACTGTGTGTCGATTTGTGGGACGATGTGTCCTCGCTGGGACAATAATATGTCGGTGCGTGTCGTGAGTAGTTTAGTCTGTCACCATGAGTCCTGGGTGGAACGATGTGTCGCTGTGTGTAATGAATAGACCAGACTAGTCAATACGGTAAGTGGGTCCACGGGGACACATAAGGGTCACACAGAGGGCAGGTAAGACAACAATGCGCTCTTATTGTAGCTGTGCAATCATAGATAACGCTTGTGTCGGATCTGAGTCGCCAGAGTGTGTATGCGTTTACTCCTGAGCAACGTGGGTCTTGTCTAGCACCATGCACAATACCATCAATTGAAACCACCGACAGAGTAATATCAGGAGCACGGTTCTCGGCAGGAAAAAAAATTATCACGATGTGCAGCCACTGAATAGTTATGTATCGTAACGTAGTCAATGATGTATTCTGGTTAGAGATGTAGACATGGATGGTGCTTCCAACGGATACCCACAGCTCCAAGTGTAGCCAGTGATTGCGTTGCCTACGATATATCTATCTGGGGTTTTCTGCTCTAGGATGAGGAGCTCCGTTCACTGCTCTGTTGGTACTGGGCTTGGGTCACCCGGCTGTCTGTCGCTAGCTGAGAAAGAAACAGAGAGATAAATATGATAGATAGATAGATAGATAGACAGATAGATAGATAGATAGATAGATAGATAGATAGATAGATAGATAGATAAAGTGACAGCACGAAGTTAGGGCAGGTGGTCCCCCCTCCTCTTTCCCCGTCTCTTATTTGTCGGCAACTGTTACATTGTTTGCATTGCACCATAATAGACTTACTTTTTCAGTTTCTCTAAAACCCTGGCAATACGTGTCCAGTGCGAACAGCGCATGGATCATCCTTAGTATCCCCGGGCTGCTTTAGGAAACTTGATACATTCAGACACATACACACATACACATGCATACACACGCAGAGAGATGTACACATGCACACGCACACGTACACACACAGACACACCACAAACACACACACGTACACAAACAAACACACACACACACACACACACACACACACAGAGAGAGA